CCAGTGGCTTTGGCTTGGCTCTGTGGTTTGATTTTTACTTCAATTTGAGCACAATTTGAGCACAATTTGTTTCATTTTACCAATTGCTTTCCTTTTTAGCGATCAAAATCAAAAAAAAGCGATCAAGTTTTGTGTTGAACTGACTGAACAAAGTTTGAACTTGAATAGACTTTGTGCTCAAATGTGCTTGAATTGCTTTTACAATGTGCTTTGTAAAAGCACCTTTCCGGCGCACTGAATTCCTCTCTTTCTCGTGAAAAAGGCAACGAAGAACGAAGAACTCAGTGCGCCAGGAAAGGATGCGTTTACGAAAGGATGTAACAGAAAGGATACGTTTACGAATTTTCAGCATAAATCAAAACTCAGCAGATGTTTTTTTTTTGCTAAATTTACCTAAAATTTCTGCATTTTCTCATAAACGCGCCCTCTTTTTCTTATCAATTTTCCTTTGTTCAAAAAATGAAAGCTGAAAGCTGAAAGCTGATCGGCTTAATCAAAATGTTCAATTAGGTCCAATTAGGTTCAATTATTTAGAATTGATTTTAGATTTAGAATAGATTTTAATGTCGTAACCGTTTAGCGAAATTCTATATTTCGTTTTCTATATGCCGTAGCCGTTTAGCGAAGTTCAGACGCTAACAAATCGCTCGTTCACGGATGAATTTCGTTAACGGCTACGACTACGTTAACGGAATTTCGTTAACGGCTACAAAATGACTCATTTTGTCATATCAGAATCCCTGAATTTTCTTTCGAATCAAAATTTAGAAAAGGTTTTTTGAAAAAGTTGAAATGATAGACTTTGAGAAATTTCATTTCAATCTCTTATTCTCAGAAACTGAAAGAGATTTTTGTTTCGAAAGGAAATTCAATTCTTGAATAAATACTCCTAAAAGTCCGTTCAATTCTTCATTTGAACAACAATATTTTGTAATGTTTAAACAGTTTCCTAACGAAAAAATCTGTCAATCCTTTTTGCCGTTCGCAATTTTAGGTTTTTCGTGTTTTTCTCAGCACTAACCCTTTGATTTTGCCTATTCTGACTATCATTTGATTCAGAATGAAATTACGCATCGAATGATACCAAAAACAACTCGAAATATAATATCCACGCAAAGTTGTTGGCCAAAAACCTCAACCCCGCCCCGCTCAACCTTTTCTCTCATAACTTTTCTTGGATATTATATTTTGAGTTGGTTTTGGTGTCATTCGATGTGCAATTTTATTCTGAATCGAATGATAGTCAAAATAGTTAAAATCAAAGGGTTAGTGCTGAGAAAAATACGAAAAACCTTAGATTGCCAACGGCAAAAAAAGCACTGACAGATTTTTTCTTTACAAGTTGACTACAAACCCTTGTAGAAACGCATAGAATAGATATTTTTGAAAACTTTTTTTACCAAAAAATTGAGCAAACTTTAGGCTTTCGAATGGCATCAAAGTCAAGTAAATCCATCATTTTAACTCCGAGAACAAGCTGTTTGTAGTCTCGCTTTATGGGACAAGACTAGAAACTTGGAAAAACGTTATATCTCAACGCCGAAAAGATGATTTGGCTTGTTTTTGGTGTCATTCGAAAGCCTAAAGTTAGCTTGTTTCTTGATAAAAAAAGTTTATAAAAATAACGATTCTATTCGTTTCTACAAGGGTTTGTAGTCTGGTCTTGTAGTTTGTAGCATTTGTAGCGCTTTAGCAGCTTTACTAGAGTTTCGCAAAGCTAACTAATTACATTTTAATCAATTTCTTCATCTATACAAACTAAAAAACGTATTGAGCCTCCCAGAAAAGGTGTGTTTACAAAAATTCGCACAAAGTAAACGAAAAAAGAATTTTGCTGGAATTTTGCTGAGAATTTTCTGCTCATTTCAACTTTTCATCTCAAAAACCCGGATTTCCTTTTTTCCAAATCAGTTGCAATTCTTTTTCTTTAAGAATTCCCTGGCCAAATCCCAAGTCAATCATTTTTCTCTTTCTTCTTTCAAAATCTTCTTTATCAATCAGATTTTCCAATCATTTTCCCCCAAAAAAAAACACTTCTCAAGCTCCATTGTTCACCTTCAGAAAAAAGGGGTTCCGAAACTCTTTTTTTTATTCAAACAAAAGACAAAAGAAAGAGCAAATTTGATGACTCTTATCTACTTTTTTCAGAAATTTTTTCTCTTGACTCGAAAAAATTTCTGGCGTCGAGGGTTGGGTTGGACTCGAGGGGAATCTTTACGATCAACTCGAACCCAGAAAAACAGTGAAGCTCGTTATCAGTTCACTGGCTTGGTACTTACTTGAATCGTAAAGCTGTAGTTGATCAGATTTTTAGCTTTGGGCACCTGATAGACCTTGCGGTGATCAGGGTTGACTGAAAGGTAGGATCAAGCTAGAGACATGGCCAGAACCAGACCTAGAACAAGCTTTTGTACCTAGCTTCCGCCTGGAGATCAAGCCTGAGCTTAGTCTCATTTGCGTACCCTCACTAGGGAACGTCGCCAGGTGCCTGTGACCTTTTAAAACAAGATCAACTTCATCTTATAGAATCGACGACGCTGATTGCGAATCCGTTTTCAGTTTTTACCCTCGTGGCCTGTAACGCGAGATATCTGAGTTACAAGCAGCTTTAGACCTCCTTGCTTGAGTCCATTTTTCATAATGGAGCCAACTAGCGGCGTGGTGCATCGCTAAAGCTGCCGACTACAGGTTGAAAGCGACCTGGCTGGATTCCAAGGCCAATTTCCTTTGGTTTTTTAATCTGACCGAAATTGGGCTCAAACCAGGGCGAACCTTATATACGTGCCGTCTTATATACGCGTTGCTTTTCTATATGCGCCGCCTTATATACGTTCTCCCTTTATATATGCGCCGCCTTATATACGCTCTGCCTTTATATATGCGCCGCCTCAATGAGGGAAGAAATTTCGAGTGTAAAATCACTTCCGAATTAAACCTAACAAAGTCCAATGTTGAATCATGAAGATGAAGCTCTCAAACCTGCTCAATCCTTTGCTAAGCCGATTCCCCAAGTTCATTCCCTCTTCTATGATGAATCAAAGTCTTTGCTAAGCTTCTCAAAAAAAGAAATTGAAATCAAAAACTCTTTTCTCACTTTGATCTCATTTTGATGACTCTTTGAGCTTATCTTTTTCGAAATTCCCCACCTAAAACTTCCCAAATTTCTATATTCCTAGATTTCTAGATTTCTAGATTTCTAGATTTCTAGGTTTCTATATTTCTAGATTTCTAGACTTCTAAATTTTTAGATTTCTAGATTCCTAGATTCCTAGATTTCCAGATTTCTAGCTTTCTAGATTTCTAGGCTTCTAGACTTCTAGATTTCTAGATTTCTAGATTTCTAGATTCCTAGATTCCTAGATTTCTGGATTTGTAGATTTCTAGATTTCTAGGTTTCTATATTTCTAGATTTCTAGACTTCTAAATTTTTAGATTTCTAGATTTCTAGATTTTCTCGATTTCTAGATTTCTAGATTTCTTGATTTCTAGATTTCTAGATTTCTAGATTTCTAGATTTCTAAATTTCTAGATTTCTAGATTTCTAGATTTCTAGACTTTATTGAAGTGGCAAATTTTCTGCACAATTCGGCAAATTTTCAAATACGTTGCGTCCCATTTTTTCTGAACGCTGAACATTTCTCCTTTTTCTCCATTCTCCTGATAACCTCTAATCTGTCTTTGTCTTTGAGAATGAACGGGAGTTTTTTTTTATCAAAAAATCTCTTTTATTCTTTTTTTTCTGTTTGCCTCGGTTTTATTCTCGTCTTTATGGTGGTTGTAGAAATTTTGGGCACCTTTTTTGCATTCTTGAACAGGATTTGCTTCCACTTACGTACAAGGAACCAGCTGAAGCTCGAGATCGACTTTATGCTTGATTTTATGACTTATTTTATAGGAAAATCTAGTACAAACTTTTCAAATTCTTCCTTTCTATTAGACTGACTAATAGGTAATGGCGGATTTGCCGGGAGAACTTCATTAAACTTAACGGAGAACTTCTCAAACTTCATCAATCTTAACGAGTTTGGTCTTGTTTGAAAGCTTTATTCAATAGGAACACAGTAGCGAAGATGATTTGTTGATTCGTTTTGTTTGAAAATTTCTATAAGCATTTAAGTGAGCTGAGTTAGACCGAAAAAAGTGTCAAAATCACATTTCGTCAATTTTTTGGTTAAAAACCTAAGCTAAAAACATGTTTTTTGTGATTAGCTGGTAAAATTACTCTAAATAACTTCAAATAAGGTCTTGTTGCTGAAGAAAAGTTCAAATTTGGTCTCAGTCGGGAGTCGAACCCTTCACCCTCGGATCAACGAGTCGCCAAGCCCGCCAAGCCAAGACTCCAATCGGCCAAGAATCGGCTAAGAAAACAAAGGTGGAATTAGGATTGGCTTGGAATTATCTAGTAGCTATCATCTAGTAGTCTAGTAGCTATCGTCTAGTAGTCTAGTAGCTATCGTCTAGTAGTCTAGTAGCTATCGTCTAGTAATCTAGTAGCTATCGTCTAGTAGTCTAGTAGCTATCGTCTAGTAATCTAGTAGCTATCGTCTAGTAGTCTAGTAGCTATCGAAGATGTTTGAATCTATCGAAAGCTACAGTAATTTGGCTATTCTGATAGGAATATGATTCTTGTTCTTGTTTCTTTTCTTCAATCTTCTTGAATAAGATCCTTTTCAACTTCAGTGAAAAGACTTTTCAAGCTCAGTGTCCACATCTAGCACTCAGTAATTCAATCTACCATACTAACTACAATAAACGAACTTTAAACCATCACATACCCAAGTGCAAACTTTATAATTCAACCAACAGAAGTCCATTGTTGTTTACTCATTCAACTCCATATCTTTTTTACGATTTTTAAGCCGTTTTCTCATTGATAATTGTCAAAAATTTCTAAAATTCTTTGACAAAAACCAATTGTAAAAGCTCCACAAAATGAATTTTCAGGTAATTTTCTGAGTCATCGGGACAAAAAGAGAGGAAAAAGAAGAAAAGAAGCGAAAATGAGGCGTTGTCTCGTGTTGCTGACTCTCGGATTGGCGTTGATCGGAGAAGCACGGGTGAGTCAGCAAAGGAACAAAGGAATTCATTCTATTGTTGGGATAAACGTTTAGTAGTTTACAGTCGTTTACAGTCTAATTACAAGTTTCACAAAGTTTAGTCTTGATGTTAATCTTGATGCTAATCCAATCGAATCCAGAAATCCAATCGAATCCAGAAACCCAGACGGTTTAGAGAAGTGCTTTTCTAGTTTAGTCAAGTCTAGTTCCACTCTGCTAGCTCAATTTTGAAGATCTTTATATGTAGATCAAATTTGGCTCAAAAAATAACAACAGATTCAGATTCTCTATTCCAGAATGCTCTAGATTACAAATTTTCAAGTCTACAGCTAACACAGGGCAGCTAATATAGGGCAGCCAAGGAAAAATGACTTTGTGAATGTGCTAAAACGATAAGCTATGAATTTTCTTCAAGCTACAAATCTAGAAGAAATATTTTACAAATAGCTCATAATATTTGTAGTATTTCTAAATTTCCTTGCCGTCAATTAAACTCTCTCTCTCTCACAATTCTAACCTTTGCCCTTTTCGCGGCGAAAATTTCTCATCAAATCAAAGCCGTTTAGTGGAAGGGGATTTTATGATCAGGAAAAGTGAGGCTAAAATCTTTGGAATTTCATGAAAACGTCGTTCATTCCTTATCGCATTTCCCTCATGTCTCGTGTTCATTTCGGGTGAACAGAAAAGAAATGATAAAATGGACTGGGATCAAAGCTTGAAGGAAAAATTCGAGGATACATTTGATTTTGAAATTGGTTAGAGTGCACGATTGGAGTATCCGTGAGAAGCTATTTGTGAGATTTGTGAGAAACTAGAAACTAGAAACTACAAAAACTCATTTGTCTATTGGGTTTTTGCCCTGACGAATCCTGTGGACCTGGGAATCGGGAGTATGTTTGAAGTGTTAGAAACAGGAGTTTCAATGCGGAGGATCAATGGGCAAAACTCGCTCAAACTGTTTTCGGCAGATTTCGGCAGATTTCGGCAGATTTCGGCAGCTTTCGCCAGCTTTCACCAGCTTTCGGCAGTTTCTTGACAGTTTCTTGGCAGCTTTTGGCAGTTTCTTGGCAGCTTTCGGTAGTTTCTTGGCAGTTTTTGGCAGATTTCGGCAGTTTTTGGCAGATTTCGGCAGTTTTCGGTGGTTTCTTGGCAGTTTTCGGGAGCTTTCGGCAGTTTCTTCGCAGCTTTTGACAGTTTTCGACAGTTTTCGTATTGTAAAACGGAATACCTATCTATTGGCGACGTGTGCCAGATGAGAAGCGATTGTGCGCGCGCACAAAGAGCACCTCGACCGGCTTTTGCATAGAGATTTCGGGACAATGAAAATTGCACTGCTGTGTAAAAACGAAAATAGCTTCGAATGGAATTGCCATTTACCTTCACCTTCGCTTTGTGCGAGTCCCGTATGAAAATGTAGTCCTTCAATTGGACTACATGATAATATAAAAACTTTTAGAAAAACTGTCGTTTAGTACAAGAAAACGGGTCGCAAAGTGAGAGCACCACACCTATCCAAAAGACGGTACATCGTTGTTAGCATTGCGATGTACAGTTCGCCAATTGTACAGTTCGCCAATTGTACAGTTCGCCAATTGTACAGTTCGCCAATTGTACAGTTCGCCAATTGTACAGTTCGCCAATTGTACAGTTCGCCAATTGTACAGTTCGCCAATTGTACAGTTCACTAACTCTGACTTTGTGTCCATTTTTCTTGTCGTAAACAACAGTGACAGAGTGGAGTAGCTCTTGAAACAGATGAAGCAAAAGAAAGTACTAAAAATAAAAGCTGATAATGTCACTGAATTGTAATGAACTGAATTATAATGAATTGAGTCGATATTGAGATTTTAGATATACAATGGAAAGTCGAGACACGAACGACAAGCGCCTGACGAGTTCGAGAAGTGAGTTCAGATGATTTTGACATCTATTTCTTGGCACACTCGCATTTACACCGCAAGAAAAATATAGGATGCAGCTTTCCTTCATATTTTCTTCGATTTTCTTAAAAAGCACTTATTTTTGAAGAGTATTGCAATCAAACGGGTAACTAATTTACATTTTACATCTAATTTTGATCTTCATTGACTGTTTTTGAACTTCATTAACCTTTAGATTCCTCATGGAATGATAGCAAAAGCTGAGCTAATGAAAATGAAAAAGAGCTGAGCAAAAGCTGAGCTTTTTTGCATGTTGCACCCACTTTTCAGTCAACTCCAACCGGTGGGTGAAAGTGAGAATTTCAATCCGTACGAAGTCGTTTCTGTCGATGGACAATCACCTGTCAGATATCATCACACCGAGTGAGCCGCGGTTTTTTGAGTTTTTTTTTTGTCAAAGCACCAAAGCATGATTTGATCTTTATCATTAAATCATTATAACACTTTTTAACACACACTAGAGCACTTATTATATAACATAAGACTTATTAGATAACATAGCACTTAATATATAACATAGCACTTATTAGATAACATACCGTAAATACTGTAATAGTACCCCACCCCCATAATGACGGTGCGGAGGGTTGCGTAGTCTAGCTTTGAACGAGTTTTTCTCGACACTGGTTTATGCTATAATGCGCGCTTAGGTATCAAAAAATAGCCCTGAATTTCAGCTATTTTTTGATATTCAAACGAACACTGTAGCTTAAACCAGTGTCGAGAAAAGCGCGTCCAAAGCTAGACTACACAACACTCCGCACCATCTCCGCACCTGGTTTATGCTACAATGCGCGCTTAGGTATCAAAAAATAGCCCTGAATTTCAGCTATTTTTTTGATACCAAAGTATCAAACGCATTTTTTGAAAGTACAGACGCTTTGAAAAAAAATGAAATACTAAAAAACTTTTGCGATTACGCGACTGTACGAGGGCGGTGGGGTACTATTACAGTATTTACGGTAGCACTTATTATATAACAAAAAAAGCATGATCACTTGCATTCTTTGAAACACTCTCTTTTCAATTGAGTTCTGTGTTTTTCTTTGTTTTCTAAATTCAAAAAAACTGCTTAAACCTAAAGTAGCTCGTTTTTTTAAAAGATGAGCAACTTGGGAAAGACTGTACTTAGCAAATACTGTACGCCTTTAAAACTACTGTACTCTTGTAAATGTTGACCGATTTACTTAATCGATTGATTGAATCGATTGATTGATTGATTGAATTGATTGAATCGATTTTATTTGATTGATTGAATCGATTGATTGATTGATTGAATCGATTGAATCGATTTCATTTGATTGATTCCTTATCGAATGAGATTCTAATGTAGTGAACCGGGCAAAGTCGGTAGGAGTTTTCTAAACTATTCACCTTATAGCGCATTACTTAGAAAGAACAGGTTCTGCTAGAACACTTGGGCAACTAAACGGATTCAACAAAAATGAAACACTCAAATTCTTAACCCTACAGATGTGGGATTGTTTTGAAAGAGATCGCCGTCCTTCAACCAGTCAACTCCGATCGGGACCAGTTCATTTTGAAGAGGATTCTCATCGAGGTTTGTTTAAAGCTCAATTTGAATTGAATTGAAATGAATTGAATCAATAACAAAATTGATTTCTTCTTTTCTAGAAAGACACTGGCAAACCAGCGAGCGGTCCATGTGCTGAAGCTCTGCAAGCGAGCATTGACAAAGAAGATGCCGGGAAAGCACCGTATGAACCACCGTTTGTTTTTAGACTTTATTTGAAATATTTAATTTGATTGGTTTTTTTATCAAATGAGTTTCTAATCAAGCAATATCGTAGCAATAGCAAAAGTAAATCGAGCAAAGCAAAGAAGCAAAGAGAGCAAAGAAGCAAAGAAGCAAAGAAGCAAAGAGAGCAAAGAGAGCAAAGAGAGCAAAGAAGCAAACCTAATTGCTCATATTATATAAAAGAGAATAAAAAGATATAAAAGATAGTGCTTAAAGGCTTTCAATGTCTTATAATGTTTTATAATGCCTTTAATGTTTTATAATGCTTTCTTGTCATGTCTGAATATAAGCAGAATCTAAATGCCATATCTAAATGCCACTTCTGAATCTTTGAGTGTAAACTTAGAAGATCGGACCTTCTACTAGAGTATTAACAGTACTCTATTAACAGTACTCTATTTACAGTACTAGATCGTATCTTATACTTAATACTTAATACTACTTATACTTAATAACATTAAGTACCTTGGTTACCTTTTAAACTTAAAACAAAACGTTTTACAGAGAGCGAATTGATGGAGGAGTCGAGCCGAGAAAGGAAAACAATGTGATCGCCGAGTTGCCCTACATGTCGGCACCGGTAAGAAAAATCAAACGAATTATGGCAACACTTGGCAAAAAGTTGCTGCCAAACGCCTCACTTATTACTAAAGTGCCAAATGTTATATAGAAAAATAAAGCCCTTCATCTTGGCATCATTTTTCTATAAAGAACTTTCCGATTCGAAATATACAACTCATTTTACAAGCGCTCGAATGAAGTCAAAAATGGTAGATTGCTGGAGAGTGGTCGAGCTGATTGAAGAGCTTGTAGAATGAGTTGTATATTCCGAATCGGAACGTTCTTTATAGAAAAATGATGCCAAGATGAAGGGCTTTATTTCTCTAGATAACACTCGGCACTTTAGTAATAAGTCGGGCGTTTGGCAGCAACTTTCGCCAAGTGTTGCCCATAATTTGCGGTAAATTAGAAAGCAAGCTTTTACCCGATTTTCCATTCGATTTTCACTTAAGAAATCGAAAAGCGAGCATCAGTCGGGTGAATTTAAAGGCATCGATTACGAGACACGGCCAGATATCGAGTTGCCGTTATTGGTATTGTTGTGGAATGCAGCATTCGATAGAGATTCGTCGTATTTTGAGCTCAAAAAGGAAACACATCAATTCTAGCGCACTAGATTCTTCATTTTCTTGTAATAAAGATTAGAAATCGTGAGAAAAATAGCTATTTGCGTGCGCTGGAAAGGATGCGTTTATAAATTTGAGCACAAAGTATATAAAAGGGTTAACTGTAGCTCTCACTTTGAAATAAATATAACTCTGCACTATAAATTGTACTGTACGTCTCTTGTCTTACTACAGTGGCCAATCAAAAGTATTTAGTCTTGTCGGCTAAATGCTTTTGGAGTACTATAGTGTAGTCACTTACAGTACCTACCGTAAATACTGTAATAGTACCCCACCACCATAATGACGGCGCGGAGTGTTGTGTAGTCTAGCTTTGAACGAGTTTTTCTCGACACTGGTTTATGCTACAATGCGCGCTTAGGTATCAAAAAATAGCCCTGAATTTCAGCTATTTTTTGATACCAAAGACGCATTTTTTGAAAGTATGGGCGCTTTGAAAAAAATGAAAAATGAAAATGAAATGAAAAATGACTGCGACTACGTGACTGTACGAGGGGGCTTGAGGTACTATTACAGTATTTACGTACAGTAATAGATTTACGTACAGTATTTACGGTATGCACTTGTCACACTCGATTTTCCCTTGATTTTCCCTTGATTTTTGCCTGATTTCAATTTTTCTGCATGTTTATCAGTTTCTCAGTTTTTACCCGGCAAATAACTTAAGAATTTGCAGATCGAACCGCCACGTGATCACTCGTTTCCATTGGACAACAATGTACAGCGACATCCGCAAAGACCATATGGCGATGCGCAATTCGCCGATGCGCAGACTCATCACGGTTACAGGAAAGGCAAGAAATGTGCGAATGGAAGGAAAGAAACGGTGGGTTTCGATTGTTGTTGTTGTTGATGTTGTTGTTGTTGTTGTTGATGAATTGCTGGCTCGCTGGCTCACAACCAGCTCTTCGTTTCTCAATTTAGCTGCTCGTTTAACAGAATCCAGAATTTCTAGCAAAAATATAGTCAAATTTAACGAGGGAAGGATATAATGCTAAATGAGATGCTAAATGAGATGAGCCATACAAAATACCATAGAATTTTACGCTGATTCCAATGCTGCTATCCAATTTTTGCAAAATGCAAAATGCAAAATGGTTTCCAGCGAGTCCGTTCCTTAACCAGAGAAGAGAACTCTGGCTCGGGCCTAGCTAGGCCTAGCTCGGGCCTAGTTCATTTGCGTTACTGCCCGATGCACTCAGAAGAGTACAAATCTCAGAAGAGTCGCCCGATGCACTCTGAAGAGTATCCGGGTACGGGAATATCAACCCGTTTCCCTTTCGATTGCGTTTCCCTATCATTTCATTCATTCACTTTACTTTGCTGCCACGTTTATTAATTCTTTTCCTTTTTGGTTTATTATCAATTAAAAGATTTCATTTTACACCGGTAGATAGTAGACTACCTGATCCAGCCTGCTAGTAACTAGAGTTAGCAAGCTGTTAGCTGTTAGAGTTAGCAAGCTGCCCACTAGATAGGCTGGTTCTCAAACCTAGGCCAGTACTATCAGTACATCGTACTAGGCCTATGTTTTAAGGCCCAGAATTCAGCCAGCCACTTGACAGTTACCTAGTCAATATAAATTGTTTCACAAACTTATGATTTCCAGGCAGTCGAGGAGAATCGAAGCCCACGAAAATGCCGAAGAAAGGATCTCCCACCTCAACCCGTCGTTATCCCCTGGTGCAACACCGAGAAACCATGGCTGAACACGGCGCCTTGCCAAATGCCACCAACACCGGTTTGTTGTAGAAATTGGTTGGGGTTGTTCCAAAGGCTAGGATTTGAAGCCAGAGTACTGCCTGGCTTTAGCTTGGCTTCGTTTGGCAAGCTTGACAAGCTTGGCTCACAAAAGTGCCGCCTGGCTCTGGCTTTGGCTTGGCTCTGGCTCTGGCTCTGGCTTGGCTCTGGCTTGGCTCTGGCTTGGCTCTGGCTTGGCTCTGGCTTGGCTCTGGCTTGGCTCTGGCTTGGCTCTGGCTTGGCTCTGGCTTGGCTCTGGCTTGGCTCTGGCTTGGCTCTGGCTTGGCTCTGGCTTGGCTCTGGCTTGGCTCTGGCTTGGCTCTCGAGTCCTGGCTCCCACCAGGACTCACTAGACTTAGACTCAATAAAGCTCACTAGATTTTCGATTGAAGATCACTTGGAAAATCATTTAGCAGATTTTGGTTTCAGATTCGGCTTCCTCTTACCCAATTCTAGGTGCACTAGTCTAGACAAAAACCCACCAGGACTTTTGTCTGGACTAGGCACAGTTCGTGCCTTCCTCTAGTCAATTAGAATATCCCTGAACTACTCGAAACTCATGACTATTCTTGAAACTCATGACTATCTAAATCTTTTATATTCTAGGAATACAAAGAGGTCGTGCGTCCCCGAGTGGAACAAGTCGAGATGAAGCCACAACCAAAGAGGCGACAATGTGTTCATCGACCACGTCAATCAGCTCCATTACCCGAGATTGCCATCCAACCACCGAGCAGGCCTGCAAAGTTTGTTTCAAGTGCTAGATTACATGCTAGATTACATGCTAGATTACAATGCTATAAAACAAAGCACAAGTTTCATCAAGCCATCCTTTCCCATTTAGATGCCGGAATAGAAACGTTGGTTTGCCGCCAAATGGACAACCCCATCACCACAATCATCTCCATCACAGCAATCACAACAATGAGCTGAAAACTTTGGTTAGAGATTGGGGATGATACAAACAACAATGAGATTAAGGATCCGGTTTACGAGCGACGAGACAATTCGGTGAATGAACCCGGGATCGAGATGGAAGATGATCGCAAGAAGAGAGAGGTAGAGAGGATGGATACAAAAGTAGAACTTGAAATCTTTTAGAGTTTAGCAGAATTCCCCTAGTCAAAGTCTCCAAAACTCTAGTGTCTTGCAGGTTTATCAAGGCCATTGTAGTGGCCATTCAAAGGAAATCAATGTCTTACAAGGTTTACCAAAGTAACCAGGATTCTAAGGTAGTCAGGGTTCCCTAGAGTCATCCAGGATATCAGTGCTATCAGAGTTATGTACTAGGGTAGAGTACTAGGGCAATGTACTAGGGCAATGTACTAGGGTACTGTACTAGGATACTGTACTAGGATACTGTACAGTGGTTACTGTATATCGTTAGTCCCAAGGGTCATCCAGATCAAAAGCTCAGTACTGTACACTCGAGCTAAAGAAAATCGAGCTAAAGAAATCCGTCAAAAAAGGGAGCGGTCCGAAGGGCGGCTAGAGCTTTGTAGTTCAATCGAATTTTACAATTTGAAAGTTTCGCGGTAGAGAAGTGTAGCCAAGATTCAGGGCTTCAATTCCCTATTTAACACTTGGTACTTTGGAATTAAAGTATGCCTTTGACAACTACATTAACAAAGAGTGCGCCCAGGCAATCACCAGCTACGGGATGACAATTCCTCCTGTAGCTGGTGATTGCCTGGTGGCCAGGTTTGATCCTGTAGCCTGAGAAACTAGGAAAAATGGTGAGCCTGCTGATCAGGCTTGGTTAGGGTTACTGTCAAATGGATTTTGATGAACAGATTTCTTAACGAATAGCTCTTCTCATTGTTCTCTTTTGCAGGATCTTAACGAATAGACTCTTTTCATTGTTGCCTTTCCAGGATCTTAACGAATAGCTCTTTTCATTGTTCTCCTTTGCAGGATCTTAACGAATAGACTCTTCTCATTGTTGCCTTTCCAGGATCTTAACGAATAGACTCTTCTCATTGTTCTCCTTTCCAGGATCTTAACGAATAGACTCTTCTGATTGTTCTCCTTTCCAGGATCTGCAGCCGATCGCCGCACTGCCCGTGTATCGAATTTAAAAAAAGAAACGATAATTTCAAGTTTTTTTGAAAATTTCCTTTCATTTCCACTTCACTTTTTTCCCCGTTTGACTTTCAGTTTTTAGATTCAATTTTTGAGATACTACTTTCAATTTTAAATATAGTTTTTCATTTTTAAATTCAATTTAAATTCAATTTAAATTCAATTCAATTCCAGCTTGTCCACTGAGATTTTGCTTTGAAAAATTTCAATTTTTCTTTTAAAATTTTGGATTTTTTTTAGAATTCTATAAAATTGTAAATAAGGAATTTGCAAAAAATTGTAGAATTTTAATTTTTTTTTTGTTTTTTTGTTTGAATACTGCCCTATGAGATGAATAAAGTTGAGTACACGGTCGAAAATGTTGAAAAGCTTTGAATATATGAAAGATTTGTTGAAGAACTTTGAATATATGAAAGATTTGTTGAAGAACTTTGAATATATAAAAGATTTATCGAAAAACACAGATTTCCTAGTGATTTTGAAGATGTTTTTATAGATTTTATTCCTTTATTCTTCCTTTATTCCTTTTTTAGCTTGGCAAGTCGAGCGAGATTCGCTTTTCGCTCGTCGAGTGCCGCCGTGTGATCAGTGACACGTTTCTGCATACTTGAAGAGATCTGCAATTCACTGTCACTCATTTATTGCCTGTAAATGTAAAGCCAGCTTGACTCGGTGCTTTTCCCTTGCCATATCTACCAGCTGGCTTGCTTCAAAATCCGCACCACCAATCAGACATACTAGACTAAGCTAGGGCTTGCACCAAGTTTCGAGCTATTGTTCAAGATTAGATCAAATCCTCAACAGCAAGGGCAGTAACCTTTCTGCTCTGGCATGACCGGAGGAAGTCGGCTTGCAATATTTATATCGACCAAGGTATTTTCCAGGTTGCACGACCAAGGTTGCACAGCCAATAAGACGCACCAGACTAAGAACTAAGCTCAAGCCTAAGCTTTCACCTTAGCTCCAGAAGCCAGCCGAGATCTGGAAATGAGGCGGTGTGCCCAAATAGACTCTGTCCTAGGTGCCAGGCGCTAACCTTCGCATTAAGTCCAAGCCGGAGCCTAAGCCTAGCCAAAGCCTACGCAAAAGCCTAAGCAAAAGCCTACGCAAAAGCCTAAGCCAAAGCCTAAGCCAAAGCCTAAGCCAAAGCCTGAGCTTAAGCCAAAATCCTGAGCCTAAGTAAAAGCCAAGCCTAACCCTAAGCCTGAGCTTAAGCCTAAATCCTGAGCCTAAGCCTAAGCCTAAACCCCGAGCTGTTCAAAAGAAGAGTCAGGTCATCAGCAAGAGTAGGACAACTTGGCATGATACCCTGAAAGCCAGTCTTGCAAGATCTCGGTTTAGAATCTTTAACCCCTTGATTGGGAACAAATTCTGTATCTAACTCGATCTATTTAGATCCAGATTTTCTCCACTTTCTAAAACTGAAACCAAACCTTTTCAATAACTTCAGGCTCCTCAAATGTCGGATTGGGACCGAAATCGGCGAGCACACGGCGAAGACCGGCCGCGTATCGAGTACAGTAATCCTCGATGCCTGAATAGCTATGGATATTCAGTGAATTGGATAATATTATCTAATAATAGTCAGCTAATGATAGTCAGCTTAATAGAGCAATATTATCAAATAAGATTTCTCAAGAAATGCACTAACCGAGCGCATTGAGGTGCATTGTGTGCAGCGGGCCCTGGAAAGCGTACCGAGGACCCAAACCCTCGCTCATCACCTGCAAATTGGAATAAGCTTTTCAAATCGTGCACCAGAAAGGGTGCGTTTACACTTCTTCAGCAAAAAGTTATACGTCTGCTCAGAAATCTCAAGAATTTGGGCTCAAAAAATCTGTAAACACACTGGTGCACTGAATTCAGCGCTTTTCTCTCACCAAATCCACATCTTCGGCCTCCAAAACTCCGTCTTTGACAAGACGCCATGATTCAGCTAACAGTGCATATTGAAGGCGATTAACGGCAAAGCCCAGGACCTCTTTATGCAAGCGGACTGGAGTCTAGAATACGGATTTTCTGTATTTCTGTATTTCTGTATTTCTGTATTTACGGTGCTTTCTTTTCAGTTGATTAGCTCCCAAGTTCAACGCTAATGTGTTAAGTGTTATATAATTTAAAGCCCTTAATCTTGGCCACATTTTGGCGCACAATCTTGGCCACATTTTGGCCCACAATCTTGGCCACGCTAAAAGTTTCCTCATTCGAGATCTACACTTCATTTTACAAGCTCTTGAATGAGTTGATCCCGCTGTCATTTTGCACTGTCATTTTTGACGATTTTCATTCTAATATACTGTCAGAAGTTTTTCGATAATTAATAGGTTGATGCATAAGTCTTTTTGTTCCTTTTCGTCTGCCGTTTCAAGCCAACAAATGCACCAATTAAACTACGATTGATTTCATTAGAAAAACCAATTATTTTTCTGCAAAATAACATTAAAACGGGTTTAAAAATATTTTATGCCTGGATTTTCTTGAGAGTATGAAGTCGGGTAGTCAAAAAGGGCTAACTCGATGATGCGGTTTAGACACCTTAGCTAAAGAAAACCTATCTTCGTGTCAATAGATAAAAGATAGAGAAAAAAAAGTTTGATATTTCGCCAAAATTTCAGAGAAATTCATTCAGCCAATTTTTCCGTAGAGTTTTTTATAGATTTTTACGAAAAAGGCGTTTTTCACTCTCGAATTTGCTTGAAAGTGAACCGAAATTGATTTAAAAAGATGCAAATTGAACAAAAAAACACTTTTTTTATAGAGCAAACTATAGATTAATTGGTGAATTTGTTACTTTTTAACAGAAGTACGAAAAAAACGAAAAGACTTATGCATCAACCTAATATTTTATGAAAACTTGAAAGCTATTATGCAATCTAGAAAGGATTTTTGTTCATTTTCGTTTTGTTTTCGTTAAGAAATACAAAATAGAACAAATTCACCAATTAATCTATGGTTATAAGAATAAAAAGGCTAAATAAAAAGTCGAATACTAAAGTCTAATACTAAAATCTAATACTAAAATCTAATACTAAAGTCTAATACTAAAGTCTAATACTAAAATTGTTTTATTGGTTCAATTTCATCTTTTTAAATCAATTTCGGCTCACTTTCAAGCAAATTCAAAAGAGAAAACAAGTGGGTTTTCTATCAAAAATCTCGACGAAGAAATTGGCTGAATGAATTTCTCTGAAAATTTCCCTATATACCGAACGTTTTGTGCTCTATCTTTTATCTATTGACACCAAGACCGATTTCCTTAGAGTAAAGTGTCTAAACCGTCTCATTCGATAGCTTTTCTTAGAACAAAGTGTCTAAACCGTTTCATTCGATAGCTTTCCTTAGAGCAAAGTGTCTAAACCGTCTCATTCGATAGCTTTCCTTAGAGTAAAGTGTCTAAACCGTCTCATTCGATAGCTTTTCTTAGGGCAAAGTGTCTAAATCTTATGATCGAGCCCCATTTATGACTAACTGACTTCAGGCTTTCAAAAAAAATTCAAAAATAAGACATTTGAAATGCCGTTTTGCAGTTTGCCGTTTTGCAGCGTTTGCGTTTTGCAATAATGAACCTTTCTAATGAAACAAACTATCGTTCAATTGGTGCATTTGTTCGTTTTAAACAAAAGTACGAAAAGAAAAGAAAAGCCGAAAGAAAAGAGAAGCTTTAAGCCTAATAGCTTTCAAATTTGGCAAAACCTGTCCAATATTCTTCATGATTTGCACGGCTTTCTCAACGGCACTTTCTTCAGTCCACGGAGCTGGGATGATTTCGGTTAGCGTTAGATAAAGTGGCGGGTTGATTGGGTGAACGACAAGGCAACGACCTCTAGAAGCTTTTGAATAATTTTCGGTTTCAAAACTTATAAAGCATCTGTAGTACAAGTACAAGGTACAATTTGACACCTAAATACTCAAAGAAATTAATCTTTATTTATCAAGGATTGAAAGAAAGAAAGAAGAATGAAAGAAGAAAGAAAGATGGAAGAAAGAAGAAAGGATGAAGAAAGAAAGGAAGGAAGAAGAAGCGGAGGACGAAGGAAAGAAGAAGGAAGAAACGGACCAAGGAAAGACGAAGGAAGAAAGGGAGGAAGAAGAAAGGAAGGAAGGAAGGAAGAAGAAGCGGAGGACGAAGAAAGGAATGAAGAAAAAAGAAAGGAAGAAGGAAGAAGGGAAGCAGAAGGAAGGATAGTGGAGTTCTTCAACTTCTAGTTTCCTTCTCAATTTTTTTCTAAAAGGTGGGCATTCTAAAATTTGGAAAAGCTACCGGAAGCTCTTCAGATTTTCAGATTTCAGATTTTGTCTGTTCTACTTAATTTTGATCATCTACATTAAGGAATCAAACTGTAAATCGAGTCAACAAGGGAAGGTCAACTGGCTGAGGCGGCCAAATGCTATACGACCTACCATTTGACGCAGAATTTGATGCTGATTTCGAATCTATATTCCATTTTTGCTAAATGACAATCTGCCAGGAGTTATACCGACAAGGGAAGGGGAAAGGACAAATGGATTGTAGGACAAAGGGATTGTAATCCAGGGATTGTAGATTGAAAGCAAAATAACAAAATCGAGATTCTGGAAATCCGAATCCAAACGTACTCTGGGCTCTTGCAAACGAACGGTTCTTGGCATATTCTTTCTTTCTTTCTTTCTTTCTTTCTCTCCCTTGTCTCTTTCTATTTCTTCTTGGGAAAAGAAGGCAGATAGCTCAGCTCAGAGCCAGCCCAATGCTAGCCGACCTATACCATTTGACGCAGAATTTGATGCTGATTTCGAATATGTATTCCATTTTCGCTAAATGACAATCTGTCAAGAGTTATAAGCGTCTAAAGTAAGTCTAAAACGTCTGAGTTTGAGTTTTTAGGACTTGTGAATTGTGATGTGAAGATGTGATCATTTGGGGCTTAGTGGCCTGATTGCGGCCTCCTAGCGGCCTACTTGCGGCCTGCTTGCGGCCTCCTAGCGGCCTGCTTGCGGCTTCCTAGCGGCCTCCTTTCGGACCAGTTTTGGTGCATCCGTGACCGAGTGTTACAGCGTTCGTTTCCAGATCGAGACCTCACAAGTTCGATTCGGGTTTTCTTTTGCTTTTTTTCAAGAAGTGTTCTTTGTAGAAGTGCTGGTGTTTTTAGAAAACGGAACCAACTCTAACAATAAGTACAGTACACTTGTTTTCTATGCAATTTGATATTTCCCTGCAATTTTGATGCAAATTCTTGAGCACTGACCGATTCTTGAGCTTTTCAGTGAAAAGCGATGCCGGAATTGTCGATGTACTGCTCGCGAGAACCGTCTCCGAATCGGCGAGGAGATCGATTTTCGTGAAAATATCCTTCTTGAATACTTCGCTCTCCATTGTCGATTCCTGAAATTACTAGAAACTTAAATATTAAAGTTACGAAATTCAAAGGCTACATATTTCTCAAAGTACTCCAAAAGCACTTAATAAAGTACAGTATTCAAATAAACCTGGGCATAAATGGCTCCATGTAGCGCCTCTCGCAAATCAATGGTTCCTCTAACATTTCCCATCGCTTCTTCGGTTGTCAGTGGGCCTCTTGTAAGGGAATCTTTCTGAAATTTTAGAATTCGGGTTTCTAATTCGATTTCTAATGTCCCCTTTCTACCGTAATCTTATTTTTATCCAATTTACTTTCTCTGATTCTTTGAAGGTTCAAAAAGGATATCGAAAGTTAGAAAGATCGAAAGATCGATTTGAGGAAAATGAGAGGTTACGGTAAGAAATGAGACAGAAAGAAAAGAGAGGTTACGGTAAGAAGCCCATTTCTCTAAGTCTAAGCCAAAGCCTAGGCAAAAACCTAAGCCAAAGCCTGAGCCTAAGCCTAAGTCTAAGCCAAAGCCTGAGCCTAAGCCTAAGTCTAAGCCTAAGCCCAAGCCTAAGCCTGAGCCTAAGCCTAAGCCCAAGCCTAAGCCTAAGGCTTTTTCCAAGTTGAAAGCTTTTCTTTTTCTTTATTTACCTGCATTGTGTTGAGATTTCCGCGAATTCTTCCAATCCCCGCTTGAACGAGACTCTCGTTTATCTCGAAAATGCAAACCGAGTAACCGGCCGAGGCAAACATCGAACCCCAACATGAACCTATTAGGCCACTGAAAACTACTTTATCTTTAAACTAGCCGAAAAACACTCTGGGATCGAACCCGGGCCGTAGACAAGCGCGCTCCCGACCGACAAACACTGTGGCGCGGTCGGGAGCGCGGATGAAGTTGGATGAAAAGTTGGATGAAGCATCCAGAGATCGAACCCAGGCCTTTTGAGCCGTAGACAGGCGCGCTCCCGACCGCGCCACGGCGACAAACACTGTGGCGCGGCCGGGAGCGCGCTTGTCTACGGCTCAAAAGGCTTGGGTTCGATCCCTGGGTGATCGATCCCCGATCATTCAACTTTGATTTTTGATGTAGATAACTTCAACCTCTCAAGAAGAAACTTGAACCTCTCAAGAAGAAACTTAAACCTTAAACCTCTTAATTCCAATAACTGGTAAACAATGCATTCCAAACACACCCTATCTAGCACACTAAAGCTTCATCTCTCTTCATTTCTCTTCACCAAATCATTGTTGTAGAGAAAATGATGCTTTTCGTGTCCCAGAAAGGTTTTGTTTACAAATTTTTGTGTCCACTGACGTCCACTAACGTCCACTGACGTTCACTGACGTCCACTGACATCCACTGATGTCCACTGACGTCCACTGACGTTCACTAACGTCCACTGACGTCCACTAACGTCCACTGACGTTCACTGACGTCCACTGACATCCACTGATGTCCACTGAAGTCCACTGACGTTCACTAACGTCCACTGACGTCCACTAACGTCCACTGACGTTCACTGACGTCCACTGACATCCACTGATGTCCACTGAAGTCCACTGACGTTCACTAACGTCCACTGACGTCCACTAACGTCCACTGACGTTCACTGACGTCCACTGACATCCACTGATGTCCACTGAAGTCCACTGACGTTCACTAACGTCCACTGACGTCCACTGACGTTCACTGACGTCCACTGAAAGCAAAAAAAGGAATTCTTGAGCACAAACCATCCAATGATCGCCACTTTTCCCTTTGTTTCGCCCATTTTTGTCAGATTGATCGATCTGAAAACAAGAAATTACTCTAAACGATTAAAGAATTAATTTAAACGACTAAAGAATTAATTTTTAAAAAATCATACCAAAAAGGGTGTGTTTAGCACCTTTTTGAGCACAAAAACCCTCATAAAACAAGATCGTAAATGGTCAAAATGAAAGAAAGGGCGAACGTTTCACGGAAAACTTATCAGTCTTTTTGGTATCACTTCCCAGAGAACATAAATTTGTCGGCACAAAAGCCAAATGGTGAGTAGGAATTGAATTCGAAAGAAATAATACTAAAATAGTACTAAAATTTGGAAATTTTCTTTCAATTTTATCAAATCTACAAGATCAGCTGAGAAATTTTTATTAAATCTATCAATAAAAGCCAAAAAACGAAAGACAAAGAAACTTTTTGATGATAAAAAAAACAGAGAAATGGATTGAGAATTTGATATCAATTGCGGAAATGATATGGGAAAAAGGAAGAATTGCCCTTGGCTTGAGTAAAGTGAGAAAAAGAGAAATCACTTCGTTTAAATCTTTGACTTGCAAGGGAAAGGCTGGGATTTGGCCAAATGAGATAAACAATAGACCATTTGATGCAGAATTTCACACTGATTCCGAATCTGCAATCGTTTTTGCCAAGCCAGAAAAAATTCAGATCTTAAAACATCAAAAGGAATCGAACTCGAGCAAAAAAGGGAGCCGCTCGTTTTGTATTCAAACCTCTTATCCACTATACCACCGAGCCAGATTTGGGTGTCGTGAAAGAACCGTTATAAAGACATTTTTGGCAGTTTCGCATTTTCACCGAAAAACTTCAAACTTGGGTGACTCTTTATAGAAAGGAATTTTGCAAAAACCCAAACATGACTCGATGGTGTAGTGGTTAAAACGCTTGCATACAAAACGAGCGCTCCATAATTTACTCGAGTTCGGTTCCTTTTCGGCGAAACTTTTTGACAAAACGATTCCTTTTTTGAGTTTTGATGTTTTAACACCTGAATTTGATCTGGCTTTACAAAAACGGAAAGCAGATTCGAAATCAGCGTAAAATTCTCCGTCAAATGGTCTATAGCTTATCTGATTTGGCAAAATCCTAGCCTTTCCCTTGTAAGTCAAAGATTTAAACGAAGTGATTTCTATTATCGCTTATCTGATTTGGCCAAATCCCACTGTCGCCTTTCCCTTGTTGAATTTTTGCTTAAATCTATAAACGGACACTTTCTGGTGCACTGAATTTATCATTTTTTTACCCAGGAACACTTCGTTGTCAAAAAAATAACAAATTCAGTGCACTAGAAGGTAGGCGTTTAGAAAAGCGAGCACAAAGTACATCGGAGGCTCAAAATGACGTGCGATGCTTGAGAAAAATCATTGAAATCGTTGAAATAAACGTTTCAGAATCAAAGAAAAGCTTTTAAATGTCAACATTTCGATCGTTGCTTTTTCATTGCTGAAAAAACACACCAGAAAGTCAAAACAATAGCATTGAGTCATCGTTTTCTTTCTAGAAATAAACATCAACGTTTTTTGACAAATGTTATTATAATCATTTGAATCATTTGAAAGCTCCAAATCTCCTCTCCAAGATAGACCTCTCCAATCCTCCCCAATCCAAATTCATCTAAAAGTTTAGATCCATTAAGGTCGAGTTTTGATTTCAATAAATAATTACTTAAAATAATTGAAAAAGAAACGAGAAATGGACTTAGGACTCAATGGATTACGATCATTAGCGATCACATTTTTGACAACAGAAAAATAACGTTCAACAACAGCTTCCGATGTGTAGATACACAAAATTTTAACGGGAAAGATTAAAAAGGCTCGGAAAAATTCGACAATCGCTGCATCCAATAATTCCTTTGACAATCGCTGCATCCAATCATTCCATCGACAAGCGCTGCATCCAATAATTCCTTTGACAAGCGCTGCATCCAATAATCCCTTCAACAAGCGCTGCATCCAATAATTCCTTCAACAAGCGCTGCATCCAATCATTCCTTTGACAATCGCTGCATCCAATCATTTCATCGACAAGCGCTACATCCAATAATCCCCTCGACAATCGCTGCATCCAATCATTCCTTCGACAAGCGCTACATCCAATAATCCCTTCGACAATCGCTGCATCCAATAATTCCTTCGACAATCGCTGCATCCAATAATTCCTTTGACAATCGCTGAATCCAATCATTCCTTTGACAAACGCTGCATCCAATCATTCCATCGACAAGCGCTGCATCCAATAATCCCTTCAACAAGCGCTGCATCCTTTGACAAGCTCCAGTGTACGATCCTTTATGTCGACTGTTGAAGAATAATCACACAAAACAAAAATAGAATTACGCATAATGGCCACCATCAGTAAGAAGTGCATTGCACTGTTCAAATTTCATAAACCCGACGTTTTCTACGTTTCTGTCAATTGAGACTCGTTTGGAAACCTTCAATACCAAACGAAAGCTGGAACGAAGCTACCTTTTTTTGATCTTTTCTGCCATTTGGATCCCTTTCCTGCGGTTATTCTTATTTGAAAAGTCAAAGAAGAAAAAAAAATAAAAAAAAAAAAAAAAATTTTTTTTCCCTAATAATTGCAATTAATTTTTGTCCATTAACTAGTCTAATTGATGAATCATGTCAATCAATCAATCATCCAGAGCATTTGAGACAAATTAGAAGCGTTTGTAGTTTACGTTTGTAGTTTGTAGCTTGTATTCATTCATTTCCACAAATCTCATCATAAAGTCTTTCATCATCTGAATCGCCGCGATCAATCTCTTCCACAAATCATCGGCCATTTCTTTTCGCATTAACTGAATATCAAATAGATCCCTAAATCATATCTAAAGCTATTCGTTTTAAACAAAATTTACATATCTAACGGTAAACTTAAAATCCAAATTCGCTTACCTTTTTCAGCTCTTTTCTCTTGTACATTTACTTTGCGTTTAATCCTGCAAATGTACCCTTTCTCCTACACCAATTCTTCATTTCTTAGCAGTTTGGTGTCACAAAAATGTATTAAGTTCTCCCATAAAAACCTAGAGATTTTTTGTTTTGATCAGTGCTCGCTCACAACATAACATTTTGTATTTCTCTTTTTTTCTTTTTTATGCTAAAACTTTCTTCTTTCTTGCACTAACATTCATTTTTTAGGGATCGACACGAGAAGAGAGTTGTAGTCGATCGAATGAAGCCAACTCGAGAAGAAATCCCTACTGCTCCAACGATTTTCAAGAGGGATTTCAGCGGCCAAAGCAGCACGAGAAATCAATCAATTTTATGCCAACAAAATGGTTGAAACGAGTATTGCATAGAAATGGTTTCACAGATTCAAGACGGGCAACACAAGCATCAAACGAAAGAGGAGAAGCGGCCGACCCCTGGAAAGTGGATCGATCGATTCTGAAGCACCGATTCCTGTGAAATCCCGATGAATCAACCGGGAAATTGGCTGGAAGTTACTATGGACGAATGACTGTGTAGCGATGATTGCAGTGGAAAGAAAGAAGTTGTGGAGATTTTAGGAAAGAAAGTGGTGAGAAATTGTAGAAAACAACGGCAAATTCCATACGAAATTGAGAAAAATCCAAGTCAAAAGACAGCGGACCTGCAGCGAATTGTGGAGCGAATACCGGCATGATTGGCTTCCTCTTTCGAACATCACTCACAATCAAACGTGGGTTTTTTCTACGATGACCGAGTGTTACAAGTGGTTGAAGAAAGGGCAAGGCATGTAAAAGCATGTAAAATGGTGCCAAAACCAAAGCCAAATGGTGCCAAACCCATGGAAAGAAGCGAATTTTGTGTAATGTTGTTCGTCAGCGTCTTTTTCTCCGACAGCTTCGAACATCATCACTCACGATCAAACGTTGGTTTATTCTACGATGGCCGAGTGTTACAAGTGGTTGAAGAAAGGGCAAGCATGTAAAATGGTGCCAAAACCAAAGCCAAATGGTGCCAAACCCATGGAA